AAAGAAAGAAAATCACAATATTGATACATATTTTTTTAATCTAATCTTTCGGCTTACATAAGCCATTATCAAAGATGACAATTACATTACAATATATTAAGCAATATACGGACAAGACAGTGATGATAGTCTGTTTCTGTTTACATGGAAGATTTCCAAGCAATGACAAACTCGTGCATATAAGACGCTGGAAACGAAAATCACACCGCAGATGACGTCGCGCATGACCACGCGAGAGTGAAAACAAGAAGTATTAAGTATGGGAAGCCGTTGGTATAAACCAATGGCTTCTGTTACCAATTATAGGCATTTAAGAATATTTGTGGAGATTTCATATTTTATTTTGTTCAGGTTAGGTTTCAACAGTTTTATGTTTATATCTTCAAAAATCTTCAGGTTTTGTTTATTGTTTTTATGTTTAACATAAGCCATGTCGGTCTTGGTTAGTACTTAGATGACCAGTTAGGAATACCACGTGCTGTAAGCTTAGATGTGCAGTGTAATGGATATTGTCTCGGAATTGTTAATCGGAGAAACAAGTTTTAATTCCAATCGGGTTCCTTATATTAACTTTATTTTATCGGTATATATTTGTTATCTCCAAAAAATTTCTAAAGTTCAATAATATATTCTGGTTTGAAATAACCTGGTATGGGTTGATAAGCCGTAAAAAATAGTCAATCATAAAAACGAAAACTTCATGTATTAAAATGTTGAATTGTATTTATTGAGCACTTTTTAAAAATATAATGCTTGAAGATGAAACAGAACTAATGCTTTTAATTTAATTATATAATTAAATTTGAATTTTTTTAGCTTCGGTTTTTGAAACATGGTAATTCCTGTGTAGCGAAGAAAGCATATTTTAAATCAGTTAATTTATAATATTTATGCTCTGTAAAGTTACATTGAGCACTGTTTTGTAAAAATAAAAATATCAGTAAGATTATATATCTTACTGTTCTTTCTTTTTATTAAAATATACATACATATATATATATATATATATATATATATATATATATATATATAGAGAGAGAGAGAGAGAGAGAGAGAGCGAGAGAGACATTTTTTATGTTTATACGTTTTTTATACAAGCAAATATTTAAGTAAATATATATATATATTTTATGTTTATAAGTTCATTTTATACATGCAAATATTTAAATATATATATATATAGTTTATGAAAAACTAGGTAATCCGTATGGATAGACCCAAGGAGGATAAAATCCAGAGAGCTGATGATCCACAGTCCTTTAAAAGGGCTGTGGTGAAATAATTTATTACATGGAACCTTAAAGTATTCTAATTTTATTTAAATTATATATATATATATATATATATATTTTGAACAATAAAAAAATATTAAAAAAATATATTAAAAAATTAAAATCTTCAGACACACTGGGATGTCGATTAATATTCTTTCGTTTTTTTTTTTATTATTATTTCATTTAGATTCCTCAACTAGTTTCGGCCAAAATGGTCATCATCAGGAGAAGAAATATTTCTGCTTGCAGGTAGCAGTGAACTACAGAAATGAGTGTCTTGATGGAGAAAGAAAATGAACTTTTGTCTGTAGTTTTCATTTGTTTTTTTTTTATTTTTTTATCTTTTGAACATGAATCTTTTAACATTCCTTGTGTTGGTCAAACAGTCTTTTAAGTTTTAAGATAAGAGCTATATATATATATATATATATATATATATATATATATATATATATATAGTTTTAAAAACTAAAACCATTGATTTTAATATTAAAGTCTCTAGAGCCCCTTTCATCAAACATCTCATCAGGATTTGATCGTTGGATTAGCGAAATGAATAATAGCGATATTGAAGATTTTAAATTCAATAATCATTTGAAGAAACACATAAATTTAGAACAAGTTATATACCGGCAACGAAAGAAAGGTTATCGATGTAAATAAATAGGGGGATATTTTAAATAAAATATCCCCAACAGATTTAGAGACCTTATAAATTCTTTCGTTATAAATTATTCATATACTTGTTCGTTATTTTAGTCATTCCCCTTTTTTGCTCTTCAATATCGCTATTATTCATTTCGCTTATCCAACGATTGTCTCCTGATGAGATGTTGGCTGAAAGGGCTCTAGAGACTTTTAAATTAAAATCAATGGTTTCCTAGTTTTTAAAAACTATTTATAAATTTTGTACCTCAAACATTTGTATATATATATATATATATATATATATATATATATATATATATTCAGAGAACGATAAATATATATATATATATATATATATATATATATATATATATATATATATATATATATATATATATATATATTATTTATATATATGGAGAGGGTCTGAGAAATAGATAATATGGTGAAAGGGAAAGAAAGCCATAAGATCCAGGAAGGCAAGCACGTAAGACAAAATGGAAGAAAATAAAGAAAACTTCACTGTTTCAAAATGTGTTTCCGGAATAAAATGATAAGACCGTTTGACGACAAAATAAATAAAATTTGGTGGCCAAATTTTCACCATAAGTGTCTGGGAATTCAGTTAAATACGCTGATATCACAATCAGTAAACACTGGTTGTCCATAACGTCTTTTTACAATTAAAAAAAATATTACAAAGATATCTCTCCACTTGACTTCTTTATATAGGGTTATGTGAAAGATATCGTGTATTGAACAGAGATACGGGATTTCACTGCTCTTAAGCAAAAGATCAGTTATGCCATTGTCACCATTGATGAGGTTTTGCTACAGACAACATGACAAAAAAATCGAGTACTGTCTTGATGTGCTTCATGCAACTAATAGTGTCCATATAGAGGGGTATTAAATTTGTTAAAAAAATATCTACTCCTTATTTTGTAACAATTTCCACGTATTTGTCTGGTCATTTGCTCTTGTAATAATGTTTTTCAATCGTAGAGACTTTATACGACATATATATATATATATATATATATATATATATATATATATATATATATATATATATTTATTTCGCTATGGAGTCCATCGTTTCATTTATACGTTTCATTAAATAATGTAGACAAGTGTTGTCTATTTTTTTATGTAAACTCTTTTCATAACGTCTAATAAGACATTTAAGGATATTTAAATGTCTGTAGTTGGTGACGGAGGCCATTGGTTTGTGCCAACGGCTTTCCATACTTCATACTTCTCCAATTCACTCTCGTATGGTCATGTGTGACGTCATGAGATGCGGTGCGATTTTCGCTTTTAGCGTCTTATATGCACGTGTTTATCGTTGCTTAGAAATCATCTATGTAAACATTGACAGACTATCATCACTGTCTTGTCCGTATATTGCTTAATATGTTGTTTATTGACATCTTTGATAATGGTTTAAGTAAACCAAAGCTTAGATTGTATTAAAAAAATATGGATCACTATTGTGAATTTCTTTCTTCGTTCAACGATAATGTTATTAAATTTATCAGATGTTACGAAAAAATTTACATGAAAAGGGTTAGACAACACTTGTCTATATTATTTAATGAAACGTATATATATATATATATATATATATATATATATATATGAATATATATATAATTTATTTATTTAAAAAATATGATTCCAACGCTATATAAGAGTTCTCATGTTTTAAAACAAGAGCCGAAAACTTCAATATAATTATTTGAATTAAATTGAATTAAAGTACTAAGCTCTGTTCCATCTTCAAGCGAATTTTTTTTTTGAATAACTTATTCCTGAAATTTCCGCAAATCTATTTAAACTTGGTGGGTGAAAACAACTAGGATAGCACAATTTCCAAATAAATTGGCTTCCGAGGAAAAATGGAAAGAAAAAGAAAGAACCAGAAACCTTCGAAGAGGGCGAAAGAAATGATCCAGTTCCTTAAATCTCTGGTACAAAAGAAAAATTATCCAAGCGAGTAATAAGTTAAAACGAAGAGTGCTCAATACATTAAGTAGAACAAAAGTAAAATAAATAAATCCTAAAGAGTCAGGTATATATATATATATATATATATATATATATATATATATATATATATATATATATATATATATATACTAGCAGTAGAGCCCGGCGTTGCCCAGGGATATAACAGTAAGAGATAGATTAAGTATCCACCATCATAAAGACTGAAAAATAAAATTGACAAAGATTATTGTTTAAGGTTGACGGACACGCATGTCTTAATTAGTTTTTTTTTACGAATTGGTCAATCTCAAGCAAAAATATTGTTTTCAATCGTTATGAGTCTACCAATTGAATAGAATTTTATTATAAACAATTGTTTTATAAATGGAATTTTTAAAGCATTCTGAATGTAAAAATAAAGAAAAAAAGTTGCAAGACAATAAGAAACACTACCTGCCAAAAAAAAAAAAAATTTTTTGAAATCGGTTGAAAAAATGTAGGAAATCTGATCCCATATATAAACGAACACACACACACACACACACACACACACACACACACACACACACACACACAAACAACCTGAGTTTTATAAGTATAACTCGATATGAGTTGTCCCCCTTTCATTCTCGAAACAGCGATGCCTCTTAATCGTGTTTTCAAATTGTTTCGTGCAAAAACAATTGTGTTTTTCCAATTTTTGGCGCTGTTAGAACCACCGCAAGGTAATTTGACGTAGTCATGTGAAGTTTTGTTGAAATCGGTTGAAAAATTTAGGAAATCCGATCCAATATATAAACGAACAGACACACACACACACACACACAACCTGGGTTTTATAAAAGTATGATTATATATATATATATATATATATATATAAAAAAAAAGGCTTAAACACTAATATTAGTGTTTAAGCTGTTTTATTATATTTTTTTCTGTCCTGGACATTGAGTTCTACCTGATTCTATCCTCTTGGAATTTTTTTTTTTTACAAATATATATGTATGTATGTATGTATGTATGTATATATATTTATATATTTCAGATATATGATTGCATATATACATGTATATTTACCACTAATAGTATCTATCTATCTATCTATCTATCTATATCTATATCTATCTATCTATCTATCTATCTATCTATCTATCTATCTATCTATCTATATATATATATATATATATATGTAATCTTTAAAAGAAGAAAGAAAATCACAGTATTGATATATATTTTTTTTAATCTTATCTAAGCTTTCGGCTGACATAAGCCATTATCAAAGATGACAATTACATTACAATATATTAAACAATGCACGGACAAAACAATAATGATCGTCTGTTTTGGTTTTGACTATTTATTTTTCTTTTCACAAATAGTGTGTGTATGTATGTGTGTATGTATGTATATTTTATTACTCAAACTTTATTTTTGATGGTTACCCGTGTTTGAATAGACGCCCCGTTTTTTTTTTTTTTATTAAACTGTATATTTATTTATTTTCGTCTACCGGCCTAAATGTTCGAGAGATCTTATTAAAGAAAAATATGGGCTCCCCGGATGGAATCGAACCTGCGTTTCGCCGGTCCGTGGAAACTATGCGTTAGATCCGGCGGGCTTCCGATAAAATATGTGCTCTCCGAAAAATGCCGAAGTCTGCTTGAAGTATTTCTCGTGTGTAAATTTTATTCGAGAATTTTCTCACGCTGCCGTTCATCAAGCTGATAATGCTGCGATAATTGAAGAGGCCATTTTCAAATTTTTTTTTTTTCGCCACTTACTTCGAAATTTTACGATGGAATCTGAGATCAGAGACAAAACTGCAAGGAGCGCTGAATGGTCGCCCACTTAAAAGTCTGTTCCATTTCGAAACAATAACGGCCATTTGTTGATGAGGCATCTTCCGTTTATGTTTCCTATCATGGAAAGACAGCTGGTCATTCTTTCTTTTATGTGTCGTGTCCCTTCAGGACGTTGACGATCATGGCTCTCCACAATTTCCTCTGCTTTGTAGCTCTTAATAAATTTGGTCTTTTTGTTAGCTCTCCTAAACCTTGTTCCGCCATCCATTTACTCAAACACATTCCTCTTCATCTATGTGCCGTGTCCCTTCAGGACGTTATCGATCATGGCTCTCCACAATTTCCTGTCCTTTATTGCTCTTAATAAATTTTATCTTTTGTTATCTCTCCTAATCTTGTTCCAAGATCCATTTACTCAAGCTAATTTTTTCTTCTTCTATGTGCTGTCTCCCTTCAGAACGTTAGCGATCATGGCTCTCCACAATTTCCTATCCTTTGTAGCTCTTAATAAATTTTATCTTTTTGTCATCTCTCCTAAACCTTGTTCCATCATCCATTTACTCAAGTTCATTCTTCTTCTATGTGCTATGTCCCGTCAGAACGTGAGCGATCATGGCTCTCCACAATTTCCTCTCCTTTGTAGCTCTTAATAAATTTGGTCTTTTTGTTAGCTCTCCTAAACCTTGTTCCGCCATCCATTTACTCAAACTCATTCTTCTTCATCTATGTGCCGTGTCCCTTCAGGACGTTACCGATCATGGCTCTCCACAATTTCCTCTCCTTTGTAGCTCTTAATAAATTTTGTCTTTTTGTTAGCTCTCCTAAACCTTGTTCCGCCATCCATTTACTCAAACTTTCTTTTCATCTATGTGCCGTGTCCCTTCAGGACGTTACCGATCATGGCTCTCACACTTCTCCTTTGTAGCTCTTAATTTTTTCTTTTTTGTTAGCTCTCCTAAACCTTGTTCCGCCATCCATTTACTCAAACTCATTCTTCTTCATCTATGTGCCGTGTCCCTTCAGGACGTTACCGATCATGGCTCTCCACAATTTCCTCTCCTTTGTAGCTCTTAATAAATTTTGTCTTATATCTCCTAAACCTTGTTACGACATCCATTTACACAAGCTCATTTTTCTTCTGTGTGCCGTGTCACTTCAGGCCGTTGACGTTTATGGCTCTCCACAATTTCCCGACCTTTGTAGATCTTAATAAATTTTGTTATCTCTCCTAAACCTTGCTCTGCTATCAATGTATACAAGCTCATTTTTCTTTTCTATGTGCCTTGTCTCTTCACAACGTTAGAGATCATGGCTCTCCACAATTTCCTGTCCTTTGTAGCTCTTAATAAATTTTATCTTTTTGTTATCTCTCCTAAACTTTGTTCCGACATCCATTGACTCAAACACATTTTTCTATATGCCGTCTCTCTTCAGGACGTATACGTTCATGGCTCTCCACAATGTCCTGTCTTTCGTAGCTCTTAGTAAAATTTGTCTTTTTGTTATCTCTCCTAAACCTTGTTCCGACATCCATTTACTCAAGCTCTCTAGATAGGTTATGCGGTGTTTTCCTCTGTCGATTTTGCTTTCAATCAGTCCTTGTGAGTATTAAATTTTCCAAGCCCTCTTTCCTCATTATGTGCACAAAGCCGAAAGAGTGGGGCAGCCAGTGAGGATTGAATTTACTACTCAGTCATAATTGATCTAGCGAGACAAGCTTATTAATACACAACGTCGAAATGCTCCCTTGATCATTAATAAGCACTATAGGTTAAATCATAGATGGCTGTGGAGGGCCATGACCATCTATGTCCTTGAGTAACATGGCATTAAACAGCAACAAAAAAATTAACCTGTCTTCTTGCTAATTGTACTAATGTAAACATTTTTATGGCACATCAATAATCGTTATTTGGGCTAAAATAGCCAGGTGGAAGGTGTTCTTTAGCCTTGGATGAGAAATAGCCTACATGAAACTCCACTGTGTTTTAACAGCCGTGGAGAAGCCCATGGGAATCCTTCCCACTATCTTTGCTAGAAAAATCATGGTAATTCACAAATATTGAAAAAAAAAAAAAAAAAAAGGAACGTGGGGAGAGCCATGATCGCTTACGCCCTGAGGAGAAATCTCCCACCAAAAAATAAATAAATAAAAAGTTTCTAACATTTATCGACTACAAATAATTATTTCGTTTTACACGAGTTACCTCCCTTTCATTATAGCTTTTCACTCGTCAGCGTTACGAAGAGATATTTATACAGCTTCAGTGTTGATGATCAGGATGCGAGGTTCTTCGGTAACTGATATGGTGGTTCTCTAAGCGTATCTAAGACATGGTACAAGGTTGAAAGCATGGAGCACCCAGTGAGGAACTCGCCACACAGCCGTAATTGATGTCTCGAGACAAGCTTGCTAACCATTACACCACGTCGGGTGAGTATGATGCTCTAAGACTAGCTTAGATGTGGCACAAGGCCGAAAGTATGGGGTACTCAGTGAGGATCGTTATCAGATAACTGCCGTGTGTTGACCATGGAAACACATGGAAAAGATAAAAGGGGACTCTTTAAGGAGATCTGGAAGAAAAAATAGGAAGATTGTCATGCTGAAAATTTCTCAAGACTCAAAACACACAGAGTGAAATCTTGACAAATGCCCAGTACACAAATTTAAAAGGTTTCTGAAAAGGTCAATATGCTATTAGAAGTTTATAAGTGATACAAAAAAACACGTACCTTAAAAGTACGTACCACCAAATATTTAGATGCTTGGGTTTCGTTTGATTATTTTACGGTATATCAACCTCAATGTGTTATTTAATGCCGACAAGATTTTTATTGCTGGTAATATTTTTTTTTCTTTTTCAAAAATGTACTGCTGGTAATAACGTCATTTTTTTTTTCTTCAAAAAAAATGTATTGATGGTAATTTTTTTTTTCTTTTTCAAAAATGTATTGCTGCTAATAATTTATTTCCAAAAATGTATTGCTGGTATTAAAACCTATTTTTATACTTTCATAATGTTTTGATCCCCCACTTTTTTGGGTGGAGAGGGGTAACTATTTGCTTACAGCTGGGGCCTTAACAAGTGCTACCACCCAGAGTAGAACTGGGAACACCAGCAATTAAGAGGTGTTTACTCGTTCTTTAAAACTTCCTGATTAGGGGCCTTGCTGCGGGATGTAGTTTATCGTCAGACCCAGGACACGTCTTCTTTTTAGAATCTTGGGGATTTTGGTAAAAAATCTTGCTTTTCTGGTGTCTGTATAACGTTGATTTTTTTTTATTTGCCGAGAAAAATACATTGATTCGGAAATTCTTGTAAGAACAGATAATTGACAGATTTTAATGAAACTTCCAGAACTTATTTAAAAAAAAAAAAAAAAATGAATGAATATATTTTTTGAATTGTTTCGCTTTTAGAAATTCTTCGTTAAAGTATATATTTTTTATATTTGTTACACCCATTCGCCACACTCACACCCATTTAATTTTGTGAAATTTCGAGAATTTTTTTTTTTTCGCTTAATGTTTATATTCTTAGAACAAGTCCGTGGAGAATTTAAATCCTCAAATTTTTTTCCGTCAAACAGGAAAAACCTGCTATGAATCGTAAAATAAAAAAAATAAAACTAAGGTATCATTGAAAAAAAAATCCTTTTAATTGCTTTATGAATAAATTATATTATGTGTAGTATTGTCTTTTCGATTACTAATAAACCTTTACAAGAATTGTTTTCTTTTTTCAGATTTTAATTAGAATAATTTATAAAGTTTTAAATCTTTTAAAATTCTATCTTAATTTGTAGCAGTTAAATGATATTGTTAATAAATTTAAACCGTATTTACTAATTGTAAATGGAAAAGCTCACTACAATTAAGCGACCCTCAATATTTTAAAAATAACTTTGAATTGGTTTTACTTGTGTGTAAAAACATATCGATCTTTGTAAATACGGATGTCTATATACGACATTATCAGAAATTAAGAGCGACAACTGTAATAAATTTAAAATTTATTCGTAATTTTCTAGCAATTATTCACCAAGGGTCTCTTTGCCTTCACGAGTAAAACTATAAAACCAAAGTACTTAAAAGTCAATAAAATATTAGCATGGTCTTATAATATTTTATTTTTCCAAGATTGCTCTGTCTGTCTGTCTGTCTGTCTGTCTGTGTGTGTGTGTGTGTGTATATATATATATATATATATATATATATATATATATATGCTAAAAAAACAGATATAATATCTGTAGTTTATTTAATCAGACATTGCTAAAAGAGAATTTGCTGTCTAAATACACATATATTATAATTAAGTAATTCATCAAGTCTAGAAGAAACCTCAACAGAATGCAAAAAGAACTGGGCGTACTATATTTGGGAC